GTCCTCAATTTACCTACCTTAGAAAGGATGGAAGGCTGAGTCGACCTTGAGCCTGGTGAGATTCGAACTTACAGTAATTGCAGACAGCTGGTGTTAATCACAATGCTATCAGTCTGCTGAGCCACCAGGCCCTCGCTCCATGCACCCCAAAATAATACGACCTCCCCAAAAATAAGACCAAGCGCTTATTTCAGGGATCAAAAAAATATAAAACAGGATATTTTTGGGGAAACACATTATCTATCTATCTATCTATCTATCTATCTATCTATCTATCTATCATTATCTATCTATCTATCTATCTATCTATCTATCATTGTCTATCTATCTATCTATCTATCTATCTATCTATCATTATCTACCTATCTATCTATCTATCTATCTATCTATCTATCTATCTATCTATCATTATCTATCTATCTATCTATCTATCTATCTATCTATCATTATCTATCTATCTATCTATCTATCTATCTATCTATCTATCTATCTATCATTGTCTACCTATCTATCTATCTATCTATCTATCTATCTATCTATCTATCTATCTATCATTGTCTACCTATCTATCTATCTATCTATCTATCTATCTATCTATCTATCTATCATTATCTATCTATCTATCTATCTATCTATCTATCTATCATTGTCTACCTACCTATCTATCTATCTATCTATCTATCTATCTATCTATCTATCATTATCTATCTATCTATCTATCTATCTATCTATCTATCTATCTATCTATCGCCTCTCTCCCCTCCCTTCCTCCCTCTCTTTAAGTCTGGGGTGTTATGTGGCAGATGCTTTTCTGTTGAATTCTAAAGTCCCAGAGCATTTTAGCTTCTTTTTCTATTATTTTCTCTATTTTATGGTCCCACCAGTTTGCCAGCAGGCAAATATGATTATTTCTTGTGGATCTTCCAATGCACCATTGTTGCTACTTTGTCACGCCGTTCTTTGTGCGAACTTCTTACAGGGCCTAACCAGGTGATCCCCTGTTCCTTCAGCTCCTGTGCGGCAATTTTTGCCTTCTTCTCAATTCTGGCTTTGCACACATTGGTTGTTAATTCTTCTTAGTTGCTCTGAAATTGTGTGTTACTGTTCTCGCCAACCGAGCAGCAGATCTGTTGGTTTTAAAATGTCGTTTTTTACAAGAGTGCTTTTCTTTGGGGGGGAAGCAGCAAGATAAGCCGACAGCAGGACACGAGTTGTGGTTAATCTTTAGAAAGAGAGAGGAATTTGCAATATGAGGCTGCCAAAAAAATTTCATCAGAATTCATTCTCGCTAGCTCTCTCTCTCCCCCCCTCCCTCCCTGCCTTTCCTTCCTTCCTTCCTTCCTTCCTTCCTTCCTTCCTTCCTTCCTCCTTCCTTCCTTCCTTTTCCTTCTTCTTTTTTCTTTCTTTCTTTCTTTCTTTCTTTCTTTCTTTCTTTCTTTTTGCCTTTGAATCAAATTTGACACCTGGCAAAAATAAAAATGTGGTTTGCGGTACCTTTCCACTTTTGGGGATGGTTGTAGACTTAACCCTCTGGGGACATGCTGTAATACAGAGCAGAGAGAAAAGACTGGGACGAAAATTCGCTGATGCCAAACCAACCTTCCTCTCTGAGTTTCTGCCATTTTTCATTGTCTAATCTTACATTTTTGTTTCAGTTCATTTGATTTGCAGCTTCCTAGGAGACCGTGTGTGTGTGTGTGTGTGTGTGTGTGTGTGTGTGTGTGCGCGCGCGCATGTGTCGAAATAGGCAAGCGTTCTTCGCAACGTCCCCATTTTGGGACAAAATGACACCTCCTATAAGCAGCTCCCAAAACGGGATCTTTCCCTAATTTAGAAACGTACGTTTATTTCGAGCCGTGTTTTTCAACCTTGACAATGTTTAAGATGTGGGGACTTCAGTTCCCAGAATTCCCCAGCAAGCATACGCTGCGTATAAATATGTGTGGCAGCTGCCAAAAAAGCCAATACGATCCTTGGTTGTATAAACATAGAATCAAAATCACGGGAAGTCTTACTACCGCTTTGTAAAGCTTTAGTAAGGCCACACCTGGAATAATCGCATCCAGTTTTGGTCCCCACGTTACAAAAACAGATGTTGAGACTTTCAGACTGCCACCTTCATCCTCTGTGCCCGGCCTCCAAGCCCCATCATCCTCTGCCTCTTGCCACCAATCCCCAAGATCCTATGCCCCTGCCCCCAACTCCATCATCCTTGGCCCCTTGTCCCTCAACCCCCATCATCCTCTGCCCTCTGCCCCAAGCCCTATCATCCTTGTCCCTCTCCCTGAACCCACATCAGCCCCTGTCTCCCAACTCCCATCATCCTCATCCCCTGCCCCCAACAAAGATGGGATAAAAATCACAACGAAGATAATTAAAGGCCTGGAGACTAAAACATAGAAAGAACGGTTGCAGGATTTGGGTTTGGCTACTCTAGAGAAAGGAAGAATTAGGGGTGACATGATAGCAGTATTCTAGTATTTGAGGAGCTGTCCCAAAGAGGAGGGGGTCCACCTATTCTCCAAAGCACAGGACAAAAAGCAATGAGTGGACAGTAATCAAGGAGAGAATTAATTAATTAATTAATTAACTAACTAACTAATTAAGGAGAAACTTCCTAACGGTGAGGACAATTCACCGGTGGAACAGCTTGCCACCAGAAGTTGTGGCTGCTCCATCACTGGAGGATTTTAAGAAGAGACAGGACAGCCACTTGTCTGAAATGGGATAGGTCTCCTGCTTGAGCAGGGGGTTGGACTAGAAGACCTCCGAGATCCCTTCCAGCTCTATTCTGATTGATTGATTGATTTTTTTTTTTTTTTTTTGCTTTAATTTATATGCCGCCCTTCTCCGGAGACTCAGGGCGGCTTACAATGCGTTAAGCAATAGCCTTCATTCTTTTGTATATTTTATACAAAGTCAGCTTATTGCCCCCACAATCCGGGTCCTCATTTCATCTACCTTAGAAAGGATGGAAGGCTGAGTCAGCCTTGAGCCTGGTGAGATTCGAACTTGCAGTAATTGCAGGCAGCAGATGTTAATCACAGTGCTTTAGTCCACTGTACTACAGGCTCGATTGATTGAAGCACCCCTGTGATCACATGATTAAAATTTGAATACATTCCTCCCATCCACCGATCCCTCTAGTGAAAAGAATCGAACGAGACACTTAATGAGCTCCATGATCCCACTCTATCACCAAGTACAGGTAGCTCTCTCAACTTACCACAGTTCATTTAGTGACCGTTACAACGGTATGACCCTTTAAGAAGAGACCGGACAGCCACTTGTCTCAAATGCTATAGGACAGGGTCCTATAGCTGGCTGAGGAACTCTGGGAGTTGAAGTCCACAAGTCTTAAAGTTGCCAAGGTTGGAGACCCCTGGTCTAGAATCTCCTGCTTGAGTAGGGGGCTGGACTAGAAGGCCTCCGAGGTCCCTTCCAGCTCTATTCGGATTGATTGAAGCCTCTTAAACACGCCAAGGTTGAAGGACCCTTGATTTGGAGAATTCAAATCCCCTTTGAGCATCAGATGACTTTAAGCCACTCACAGAACCAGGAAGAAAAAATGGCGTCCGGGTAATCCTTGACGTATGACCCCAACGGAGCCCAAAATTGATGTTGCTGAGCGAGACGGTTTATCGAGCGAGTTTTGTCCCATTTTTACGACCTTTCTTGCCATGATTGTGAAGTGGAATCGCGGCGCTTGTCACTTCAATGTTATACATTGCTAAGCAAGACGTCTGTTATGTGAGCTTTTCGCCCCGTTTAACAGAATAACAGAGTTGGAAGGGATCTTGGAGGTCATCTAGTCCAACCCGCTGCTCAAGTAGAAAACCTTATACCATTTCAGAGCAAACGGCTGTCCAATCTCTTCTTGAAAGCCTCCAGGGTTGGAGCAGCCACAACTTCTGGAGGCAAGCCTGCTCCATTTTACAACTATTCTTGCCACCGTCGTTAAGCGCATCGCTGCCATTGTTAAGTTAGTAACACGGTTGTTAAGTGAATCTGGTTGTCCCCATTGACATGATTGTCAGAAGGTCGCAAAAGGGGATCATATGACTGGAACCGTCATAAGTATGAATCCTTATGACAACGCGCCTGGTGGCTCAGCAGACTAAAAGCATTGTGATTAACACCAGCTGCCTGCAATTTACTGCAGGTTCGAATCTCACCAGGCTCAAGGTTGACTCAGCCTTCCATCCTTTCTAAGGTAGGTAAATTGAGGACCCAGTTGTGGGGGCAATAAACTGACTTTGTATAAAATATACAAAAGTATGAAGGCTATTGCTTAACACATTGTAAGCCGCCCTGAGTCTCCGGAGAAGGGCGGCATATAAATCAAATTTTTTTAAAAAAGTATGAATCCAGTTGCCAAGTGTCTGAATTTTGATCACGTGACTCTGGGGATACTCCCGTGGTCCTAAGTGTGAGAAATGGTCATAAGTCACCCTTTCAGTGACGTCGTTTGAACGGTCACTAAATGAACGGTTGTATGTCGAGGACTACCTGTATACGTAGTCCTGGACGTTAGGACTGTGATGGAGGCTGACCATTATGGTTCTACATCGTGATGGTCCTAAAACAGGTCAGTCCCACTCGAGCCTTGGTAGTACAGTGGTCTAAGCACCCTGTTATTAACACAGCTGCCTGCAATTACTGCAGGTTCGAATCTTACCAGGCTCAAGGTTGACTCAGCCTTCCATCCTTTCTAAGGTAGGTAAAATGAGGACCCAGTTTGTGGGGGCAATAAGCTGACTTTGTATAAATATACAAAAGTATGAAGGCTATTGCTTAATGCATTGTAAGCCGCCCGAGTCTCCGGAGAAGGGCGGCATATAAATCAAATTAAAAAAAAAAAAAGAGTCAAGTTGGGTAAAATGTTCCTCAGGTGATGTCCCAGCTTGCTTGCATGGATGATGATGATGATGATGATGCAATAATAAGATGTTGTGTGATGTTGATGATGATGACAGATGCTTTCTTCTCCCATCTCTCAGGGAAGATGGATACCTTCAGCACTAAGAATTTGGCTCTCCAAGCTCAGAAGAAGCTGCTGAGCAAAATGGCCTCCAAGAACATGGCCAGCATCTTCATCGATGACATCAGCAGCGAGATCCTGGATGAGCTCTACCGGGTCACCAAGGAATTCACTCACAACCGCAAAGAAGCCCAGAAGGTCATCAAGAACCTGATCAAGATCGTGGTGAAGTTGGGCATCCTGTACCGCAACAAGCAGTTCGGCGTCGAAGAGCTGGTCTTGATGGACCGCTTCCGTAAGAAGCTCCATACCTTGGCCATGACGGCGGTCAGCTTCTACCAGGTAGACTTCACCTTTGACCGCCGGGTCATGTCCAACATGCTCAACGAATGCCGTGACCTGCTCCATCAAGCCGTCAACACACACCTCACCGGCAAGTCCCATTCTCGGATCAACCACGTCTTCAACCATTTTGCGGACTTTGAGTTCCTCTCCGCGCTCTACGGCTCTTCGGAGCCCTACCAGACCCACCTGCAACGGATCTGCGAAGGGCTGAACCAAATGTTGGATGAAGGCAACATCTGAACACCAAAACCTGTCTCTTCAAGACTCAGCTGTGGACTCCTTGGCTCTCTTTGGTTTCAACCATCTCCGGATCTGCTTTTGACGTAATGGAGTAGTATTTTAAGAATGAGATTGTGGGTTGTTGTTATTGCTGTTGTTTTTAGTTATGGATGGTTTTACCTTGGGTTTTTCCACTGTCCTCCCTGTCCAAGGAACTAAAGGGGGTTTATAAAGGGTTTTGGTGGAAGGCAACTAAGGCCAACTCTGATGGAGACCAGACCACAAGTGAAGGCCATCTCCAGATTTTCTTCTGAACAGAACAGAATGACAGAGTTGGAAGGGACCTTGGAGGTCTTGTGACCAAACCCCTGGATTTTTGTCTTAAATAATAGGGGTGTTTGCCTCCTACCTCGGGTATCTCTTCACCCTGAAAGGCCTGGAGAGGTGGGTTACAGAGCAATCTATTTCCAGACCCATGAGTTGTCTTGCTAATAGCAGCATAACAAAGTGGGAAGGGACCTGGGAGATCTTCTAGTCCAACCCCCTGCTCAGGCAGGAAATCCTATACCAAAGTAGACAAACGGTTGTCCAAGCTCTTCTTAAAAACTTCCAGTGTTGGAGCATTCACAACTTCTGGAGGCAAGTTGTTCCACCGATTGATTGTCCTCACTGTTAGGAAGTTTCTCCTTAGTTCTAGGTTGCTTCTCTCTTTGATGAGTTTCCACTCTCTTTGATGAGCCTTCAGGTCCTTTGGAGAAATAAGTTGACCTCCCCTCTTCTTTGTGGCAGCCCCTCAAAAATGGGAAGACTGCTATCAGGTCACCCCGAGTCCTTCTTTTCATTAAACTAGACACACCCAATTCCAGCAACCGTTCTTTATAAGTTGTCCCCCCTAATCATCTTTGTTGCTCTTCCCTGCACTTCTGCATCTGGTCTTCTTCTAGGACAGAAGATGCATCTGTGGGAGCAACTAAACCAAAGATTTAATTTGGTTGAGCTGGAATAACTCTGGAAGTCTTTCAGTAATCTTTTCAAGGAGCTCCTTTGGCCAAGTGGGACATTGATGGTTTCTTCCCAACGTGGCTGGCATTCAGAGGCACATGAACGCAACTCTTAAAAATCGGTTGCGCTTCTGCAAATGTCCACTTTCAACCGGCAGTTCATTTAGCTTGGCAGTCAGCCAAGGAGTTCCTGTGGAAATGCTTTCAAGTTGGAAGGAACCTGGAGGGCCTCTAATCTAATCTGACAGAAAAGCTGCACTGAAGCACCCACAATTGTTGGCTGTCCAGCCTTCACTGTCAAAATTCAAAGGATTTTATTTTATTTTTTTTTGGTTGTAACAATCATCTACATTCTATCTCACTGTAATTTGATTCTGGGCCCTGCCCAGTGTTTTCCAAACTTGACAATTTTAAGAGGGGTGGACTTCGACTCCCAGAATTCCCCAGCCAGCCTGCTTTAAGACAGGTGGACTTCAACTCCCAGAATCCCCCAGCCAGCCAAGCTTTAAAATGGCTGCACTTCAACTCCCAGAATCCCCCAGCCAGCCAAGCTTTAAAGTGAGTGGACTTCAACTCCCAGAATTCCGCACCTAGCATGCTTTAAGACAGGTGGACTTCAACTCCCAGAATCCCCCAGCCGGCATGCTTTAAGAAGGGTGGACTTCATCTCCCAGAATCCCCCAGCCAGCCTGCTTTAAGACGGGTGGACTTCAACTCCCAGAATCCCCCAGCCAGCCAAGCTTTAAAATGGCTGCACTTCAACTCCCAGAATTCCCCAGCCAGCCAAGCTTTAAAGTGAGTGGACTTCAACTCCCAGAATTCCGCACCTAGCATGCTTTAAGACAGGTGGACTTCAACTCCCAGAATCCCCCAGCCGGCATGCTTTAAGAAGGGTGGACTTCATCTCCTAGAATCCCCAGCCACCCTGCTTTAAGACGGGTGGAATTCAACTCCCAGAATCCCCCAGCCAGCATGCTTTAAGACGGGTGGACTTCAACTCCCAGAATCCCCCAGCCAGCATGCTTTAAGACAGGTAGACTTCAACTCCCAGAATCCCCCAGCCAGCCTGCTTTAAGATGGGTGGACTTCAACTCCCAGAATTCCCCAGCCAGCCAAGCTTTAAGATGGGTGGACTTCAACTCCCAGAATTCCCCAGCCAGCCTGCTTTAAGACAGGTGGACTTCAACTCCCAGAATTCCCTAGCCAGCCAAGCTTTAAAGTGAGTGGACTTCAACTCCCAGAATTCCCCAGCCAGCCAAGCTTTAAAATGGCTGCACTTCAACTCCCAGAATTCCCCAGCCAGCCAAGTTTAAAAATGAGTGGGCTTCAACTCCCAGAATTCCGCACCTAGCATGCTTTACGATGGGTGAACTTCAACTTCCAGAATTCCCTAGCCAGCATGCTTTAAGATTGGTGGGCTTCAACTCCCAGAATCCCCCAGCTGGCATTTTTTAAAGATGGGTGGACTTCAACTCCCAGAATCCCCCAGCCGGCATGCTTGGAGTCCAAGTCCAGACTTCTTAAAGTTACCGAATCTCAGAAACAGTGCTTTACGTATTCATATCTAACATAAAAACACATTGCTTCTCAATATCACAAAAAGCGTTGTTTGTGGAAAAAAAAAACCCCGCTTTGGATTTCCGCCCCGTTGGGAGAGTGCCAAAGGCCATTCTCAACAAACCTCCACATTCCAGTGTGAAGTTGGAGCCCAACGGGACGTTTGCGACGTAGAGAATACGATCCTGTGACTATCTTGAGGGTGACCTAGGAGACCTCTTGAGTGTTCAGATTTCACGCCCCAGCTCTGCCTTCCAAAGTTTGTTTTGGAGACAAGGGCAAAACATTTGTGGTGTTGTGATTTTCTTTTCTTTCTTTTTTTTCCCCTAACAAAGCATGGCGAGGGAGCGAAAATCCACAGATATAGGCAGTCCTTGATTTACGATTGCAATGAAACCCGACACTTCTACAACACACAGTTGTGAAGTGAGTTTTGCCCCATCTTGCGACCTTCCTTTTCACCGTGGTTAAGCGAAGGGCTGCCGTTGTTAAGTGAGTCACACGGTTGTTAAGTGAATCTGGCTTCCCTGTTGACTTGGCTCGTCAGAAGGTCGCCAAAGAGGATTGCGTGATCCCCCGGGACCCCCGTCATAAATATGAATCCGTTGCCAAGCGCCTAAATTTGGATCACCCTGACACGGCCAGAAGTGTGAAAACCGATAAGAAGTCCGTTTTTTTCAGTGTCGTAACTTCAAACTGTCATTAAACGAATGGTTGTAAATTGGGGACTGTGCGTGATTTCTGATCCCCGTAGTGGATGAGCTCTAAACGGAGGCTGAAATGTTCATTTTAAAACAGAGAACGTAATAAAACAGATTATGTACCACCTTTAAAGTAAATATTTTGATTTCCTTTCAGAGGAAAACTTTTAATGCACTGTTCCCAGTGGCAGGATTCAGCCGGTTCGGGCCAGTTCAATTGAACCAGTTGTTAAATTGTTGGCTCTCCCTGCCCTGCCCGTTCCAGGAGTTCCCAAATGCCCTGTTTTGGCTCCCAGGGGGGTGCAGGAGGCCGAGTGCTGCCTGTCATACCCCCGGGCCACGCCCACTATGGCCACGCCCACCCAGCCGGTCATTAGGGCAGAGAAACTTTGGTTGTTAAATTATTTGAATCCCACCACCGACTGTTTCCCAACTTTTCCAGCTTTGTGGATCAGTGGGGGAGGGAGAGGGAATGGTTATGTGCGAGTGTGTGAATGTGTGAGCGCTAGTGTGCAACTCCATTCGTGTGAGCGGCAGGCATACGCAGCTGCCCCTCACACAATTGGGGCTCCATGCTTGCACCCTCTTGCCCGCTGCTTCCACGGCCCGGTTCAGAACGGGCCAAGGCCCACTAGTGGGCAGCAGCTTGGGGACCCCTGCTTTAATGCATACATTTCGGTCTGTGGAGATTCTCCGTTGTCCAAGTCGTGGTTGTCCCAAAGGTGCTTTTTTTTTTTCAAGAGGCAACTGGACCTTCTGGTTTTTCTTTTGAAGACGTTTCACTTCTCATCTAAGAAGCTTCTTCAGCTCTGACTGGATAATAATAATAATAATAATTTTATTTCTATACCGCCCTTCTCCCGAAGGACTCAGGGCGGTGTACAGCCAGTTTAAAAACACAAGACACAACAATAATTAAAAATTAAAATAATTAAATAGGTTTGGCTGATTTAAAACTCTAAAAATTAAAATACCCCAATTTAAAATTATTATATTGACAGCCCTGCCTGGCGGAACAACAGGGTCTTCAATGCGCAGCGGAACACCCGGAGGTCGGAGATCTTGCGTATTTCCGGGGGCAGTTCATTCCACAGGGCAGGGGCTCCCACAGAGAAGGCCCTCCCCCTGGGTGTCGCCAGCCGACATAACTTGGCTGATGGCACCCTGAGGAGACCCTCCCTGTGGGAACGGACTGGTCGGTGGGAGGCTATTGGTGGCAGAAGACGGTCTCGAAGGTACCTGGGTCCTATGCCATGGAGCGCTTTAAAGGTGGTAACCAACACCTTGAATCGCACCCGGAAGACCACTGGGAGCCAGTGCAGCTCGCGCAGGAGGGGTGTCACGCGGGCACAACGAGTTGCGCCCATAACCGCCCGCGCGGCCGCATTCTGGACCAGTTGGAGCCTCCGAGTGCTCTTCAAGGGGAGCCCCATGTATAGAGCATTACAATAGTCCAGCTGGGAGGTGACAAGGGCATGAGTGACCGTGCGCAAGGCATCCCGGTCCAGAAAGGGCTGCAACTGGCGGATCAGGCGAACCTGATAAAAGGAGGGGAACGGAAGGATTTATACTCCTTGCAGACAGCTGGTCATTTGCATCCTTCTGTTGAGGCCACTTGGAAGTTTGTCTGTGTCCTCGGGGGTCACCTGAGTGGTGCAAATGGGTGTGGAGCCTTTTTGGAATGGTTGAAAAGACTGTGTTGTAGATTGGAGAGAGAGGATGTGGTATCCCACCCCCTCTATTGAGGGAGGGATCTTCAATTTGGACATAGATGGCCTCTTGGACCCCTCTTTCAAACCAGCGGTCCCCTCTGTCCAAAATGTGGACTTTCCTGTCTTCAAAAGAGTGGCCTTTGTCTTTCAAGTACAGAT